TTCCAGCCGATCGCGCTCCCCGATGGAACACGCCTCGAGTTTGTACCGTGGGAAAGCATGAGTACGGTCGAGCAGGAGAAGGAACTCGCGCTCGCAATGAGCGACGTGCGCGTCCGCCTCGAAGCCATGCGCCACCACATCATTTTGCCCGACGAAGTGAGTGCATTGGCGCTGGGTATGTTGTGTTTCGTGATTGTTTCGATTTTTCGAGTTTACGAAATTTTTGATTTCGAACCATGTGTTTCACATGGGCTGTAGACGACGAAGGCCTCGTTCGCGAGCGCTGCGCAGCGTTTCTAACATGGTGGACGACAACCAACAATCCGACGCGTATGGAGTTTTTGCGGCACGAGGCCAAAGAAGCGGCGACCGACGAGACCGTACGTTGGTTGGGGTGCTCATAGACCCTAATCCTCGACGTAGGTGCAAGTCGCCGCGTCGCAAGTGGGCATTGACGTGGCGTTTTACACGGCGCTGCAGGCATTTCACCAACCAGGAAAACCTTTGCCGTTGCGCCGCGACGCCGACCTCGAGGCCCATCGCGACGTGTACCACGACTGGTACTTTCAAGTCGCCAACGCCGAGCACTTCGCGCGCGTCGAATTTCTAAAACAAAAAGTAGCGTGGTTGATAGATGTATTCTTGTATGGATACGAATGTCCTGTAGGTGCTCAAGCTCAAGCGGCAGCTGCGGTTCCAAATGCTCCTCGAGCTCGGCCGGATGCCACCACCGCTCTTGTATGAGCTTTTGCCAGCGCCGCGCTTGGCCTTTGAAGTGGACGACATGAAAAGCAAACTCGAATCCAATGTGGCGCCACAAATCGAGGTCCAGGAGGTGCAAGTGGTGATCGAAGCGCCGGTCATTGTCGAAGTGCGTGAGAAGATCGACTATGACGCCCTCGCCAAGCAGCGCAAGGCCAAGGAGCGCCAGCAGTGGGAAGATGAGATGCTGGTCATGAACCGCGCGCAAATGGAGTCGGAAGATGCCGCCGCGCAGCTCTGGCGGTCCATGGTACGAATGCATTTCATATGTTGTGGAGAATATTGTCTTTATCGCGTGCGTAGGACGACGAACACGACATTGAGGTGGTCGAGGACGTGCCGGCGCCCCGTGTCCGCGCGGCGCGCGACTATACCAAGTCGTACTTTTTCTCGTCGCTCCCGAGCTCGCACGACGCGTACGCCATCGCGGGGCTCGGGTGGCGCGCGGGCTGCGGCCTCTACAACGGCGACGAAGAGGCCGAAGCGCGCGAGGTGCTAACTTGGTCCCATACAAATCGTTGGCGTATTGTGGTCGTTAGGTGCGCGAACTTGAGCGGCTGCGCCAATTGGAGCTGGACCGCCTCGATCGTACCGTTTAATGTCTTCGAGA